TTGAGACATAAAAATTCCTTTTCTAGACCGAGAAAATTCAATGCCTAGAAAATATTTCAAATTCCCTAAATCTTTGATAAGGAATTTCTTGAGTAAACTAGTCTTGAGATATTGAATTTCATTGAGATCATTGCCTGTCAACAAAATATCATCAACATAGATTAGAACTGCAGTGAAAGAAGTATCTCTACTCTTAGTAAATAAAGAGTAATCTGCTTTGGATTGAGTGTAGCCTGCATTTTGTATAGTGATAGAAAATATGAAGAACCAATTGCGAGAAGCCTGTTTTAATCCACAAAGAGATTTATGGAGCCGACATACTGTATTCTCCCCCTGTCGGCGAAGACCTGGTGGTAAAGACATATAGACTTCCTTGTCTAGATTACCATGGAAAAAGACATTTTGAACATCCAACTGATAGGTGAACCATTTTCGAGCAGCAGCAATAGTGAGTAAGCAACGAAGTGTAGTAAGTTTCGCTGTAGGAGAAAATGTCTCTGTGTAATCAATACCTTCAACCTGAGTGTATCCCTTTGCTACCAGTCGAGCTTTATAATGTTCAATAGAACCATCAAAGTTGTATTTAATTTTGTATACTCAACGACAACCAATAACTTTATGACCAGGTGGTAGAGGAACGAGAGACCAAGTATGATTACGTTCCAAAGCTGCAATTTCATCATTCATAGCCTGCTGCCATAACAGGTCACCAACTGCCTCGTCATAGGTTTTAGGTTCTGTCTGGGATGTAATAAGAGCTAGAAAAACACGTTGAGTAGGAGAAAAACGAGAGAATGAAAGGTAAAGATCAAGTGGATACCTGGTGCTAGTGCTGGGACTTGAGCTAGAGGTTAAATGATTGGCTTCAGAAGATATCTCATAATCCTTATGCCAAGTTGGAGGTTGTTTAGTACGAGTAGAACGTCGGAGTGGAGCTGATATATCAGGTGGGATAGGATTAGAATTAATGGGTGAATCTAGAGAAGGAACAGAAGGTGGAGTAGACGACGAAGTAGTAGGTGAAGGAATAGGAGGTGAAGGAGGAATAGGATCATGAAGTGGTACAATAGGAGTCGAAGGAGCTAATGTCAAAGTTTGTGAAGCTGACGAAAAAGGAAAATCATCTTCACAAAATTTAACATCACGGCTGATAAAGAATTTGTGAGATTGCATGTCATACAACTTGTAACCTTTATGACCACAAGGATATCCTATGAAAACACAAGGAATTGCCCGAGGTTCAAATTTTTGCTTAGGATGTACTATAGTTGCATTAATATTTTCACAGCTGATAAAGAATCGATGCTCTGATACCATGTTAAGAATGAGAAATAGAAATAGAATATAACCCCGTTATCATCTTTCATGCTTAACATATCATTTCTCATTTTTCAGTCTACGTATCATACATAATCCTAACGGGGTTACATTTCATGCCATTTATTGTGATTTCATGCGTTCACATTCAAAATTATAGTACCATTCATGCCAGAGTCATCCAGACATGTCATAAACGTCATAAGCACAACACATCACAACTTACTAAACAACATACATTCACATTTCACAAGCGTACTTCATCAAGTATAACAATCTAGCACACAATTTAATGACACGTGCGAATCCACGTGCAGGTGCTAACGTACAACATACAACGCGTAACCTACAACGGGTGAGTCACTTACTTGGTAGGCCTTAGCCGAAGTACTCCCTAAAATATAAACGTAACCTCCTAACTCCTCGTATACGTCCTACGCTTCTGTTGGTGGTTGGTTCCTATTGGATCATTCGACACCTTCGTTAGTATTTCACAAACATAATTAAATTTCAACTTGAATTTGTGAAATACGGCCTTAAAATGATCTATTTTACTATAAACGGGGTTGAAATCAAGTTAGGGAGGGTCGGGACGGTGCCGAACAGGTCGGAAATAGGACTCTCGAGCCGAATAAGCCGCCAGAGCCAACTAAGTCGTCGAAGCTGAGGGGATTTTTGTGCTAGATGCTGCCACGTGGCGCTACCAGAAGCGGCCGCATGTGCTAGCCAAAGTCAGGCCGAGGCGTGGGTCGTCGGTTCAAGGCGTGGGTTTTTGGGTTGCAACCGCGAGTCTGGGCTGACCGCGGGTAGTGGACCGGGCCTGGGTTATTTCGTTGGGCCGAGTGGGTTTGGGCTGTTCGCGTCGGTATTGGATTGGGCTTTCGAGTCGCGGGTCCGGATCTCGATCAGACTTCATCTCCTTCGCCCGATTAATAGCAAAACTTTCTGACGACTCTCTCTCTCTCTCCTCGATTACGTCGTTCCGACATCCTTTTTCCTCCGTTTTCGAGTCTTCTCCTCCCCCTAACCCCTTTTATGGTGTTTGTTTGGATCGTAAGGGCCTAACACTCTTGGATCTAAGAAGATCCAAAAACCCGATGTTCTGTCTTCCTTCCTCGACGGTGTACAACATGTGAGCAACGTCGAAATCTATCCCTGGTGTGTGTAAATGTCTCTGGGATTGTTTTCGTGGTGTAGACTAGAGGTTTTGAAGTCGATTTTCGTATGGTTTGGCTTCGCCGGAGCGTCGTCGGTTTCTTCCTCAAACTCTCATGTTTTTTCGTTTTCTTCCTTACCGACGGTTTGGCTGAGGATTGGGGTCTATTGTTGTGGTGACCCCCGAAGTTTGGTGAGACTCGTGTGAGAACGAAAACTCCGAATTTTTCGATCTCACCGACGACTGCGGATTTTTTGTTGTGGTAACTCCCGAAGTTTGTCCTACACATCCAACCCTACCCGAAAGAGTCTTAGGTCATTTATGGTTTTAAAAGATAGGTTATAATCATGTTATGTTTGTGATTGCATTACTAACTCCAACATTAGATGACATATTGAGTATTTCTTAAAATACTCAAATCACGTATTACCTTTATATTTTTTTTAAGTAAAGTTAAAATTTCCATGCACATATGATGGTAAATATTGAAAAGGCGCAGACCGCAGATGAAAACAACATAAATAGATATTTTATTAGCATGAAAGTCCAGCTAATTTAGAAAACTGTCATGAGTTTATAATCAAGGAATACTATCTCTATTGGTACGAGGCGTTTTGGGAGAAACTCAAAGCAAAGCCAAGAGAACTTATGCTTAAAATGGATAATATCATACCATCGTAAAGAGTTGTGTTCGTATAACTGTATTAGTAAAATAAAAGCACGAAAGGAATCTCATTCTTATCTCCATTGATTGGTTATTAGAAGATCACCAACTTTCATTTGGAACTACATAAAGAAGACCATAGTTAGACACGGTTGGGTCAAGGAATTGTAGTGGCCAGCCAGAGAAGAAGACAAAGGCATATGTGAAGGTTAACGAGTACAACAAAGGGCTTGGATTTATTAATTTAGGAGCGCAACTATGTCGGTGGATTGGACTCTCTAACGTTGGCACTTCCTTGATATTGACCTTTATTTATTTTTTTTTTCGTTTCAAAATCAAATAATTGAGACACGAGTTCATTATGAAATTTTTGAAAATTATACTGAGACACTTTTTTTCTAATTTATTATGAATATTAAGAATATTTGACGTTTGTAATTAACGTTAATGATGTATTGTCCCGTACAAATGTTTGATATTTAAATTTTATGAAAATTTAATTAGTAACGTAATCCGTATAATTTTGAGTTAATTTAAAAGATTTTTTTAATTCAATTCAACCAAATTCGTAAATTTAATATTTGAATTTAATTGTCGACTTTTCTTCCATTCGGATGAAGTTAATTAAATTCAAATATTAGCTAATATAATTAATTTTATACGACATCTTACCATAAAAATTTCAAAATTAGCTAATATGGGTAGTCGTTTCATATAAAAGTAAATTAATTACTAACAGTAACGGGTAAATTTTATGAAAATTGTTTAAAAAAATTTAATGACTTATTGAACTATTATTTATTTAAAAATGGAAAATAAATAAATAAATAAAAAAGAAAAAAAAGTAGCGGTAGAGGTAAATGGAAGCAATAAACACGTGAAAATAATTATTTGGAATATTGGTTTGTTATTGGTAAATATAATATTGCATTTTTCTGGTCTGAAAATATTAAGGCAAACGGGAGATTGGATCTTAGATAAATTGCAACATTATTTTATTTTATTTTATTTTATTTTTATTTTTATTTAATTATGTGCCAGGAAGAATCCAATCCAGACAGTGGTCTCCTACAACTTTTTTTAATTATAAAATTATTATTATTATTATTATTTTATTTAAAAAAGAAAAAGAAAAGGAGGCTGAGTGCGAGACAGACACTATAATTTATTGTATGCGGCGGACTTCACGGCTGTTATCATGTGATTCCCTGTTTCTCACTTCACTTATCACCCACTTATTTATATACTTTTGACACAATATTTAAAAATATTTAAAAATTTTGTATTTTGTTTTTTAAAAAATATCTTTTAATTTTTTTAATATTTTCAATAAAATTCTTAAAATTAAATTTTTTTAAAAAATATTACTTAAGGTATTTTTTTTAAGAGTATTTTTAGATTAAATATAAACTTTAAAAATATATTTGTTAATTTAGCTATGTCAACATGAGACGTTATAGACCCATACTTAACTTTGGACCAAATACATGTTTGAGGCAAGGAGTTGGGTAAGTGAAATCGACCCATCAAACTTGAATTGAAATATATATATATAATTTTGTTAACAATAACATTTATGATTTGTTATAATTTTGTTAAAATTCAATTGAAATAATATAAATTTAAGGTGTTTAGTTTTAATTCTTTTAACGTACAAATTTTTTAGTTTCATGAAAGTAATTAAATACAGCAAAATTTAAGATTTTTTTTTTTAAAAAAACAGTACTTGAATTAATTAATTTATTATTTGTGTGTAAATATTGTTAGCTAAATAGTATTCCACCGACGTCACCGATGACGGAATGAGTGTGTGTGTGGTTGTGTGGTGGCGTATGGTATTGGCTCTTCCGATCCCACGGTCAGGAATTGTTTGTGACATCCGGTGCTTTACCCGCTGGTGCTTTTAGCTTTACCCTCCGCCAAAGCTAAAAATCCTTTGGAATGCATGAGATTCCAGGCGTGCCGGTCGTCATAAAACCCCGGCAAACCTTCTCCCTCCGCTAATCTCTCGTCTTCTCCCCTTCCCTCCCTTCTCCGCTTCTCCGCTTCTCCACCTGCATTTTCCTCTGTTTTCCTCTGTTTTCGAAACCCTAAACCTTTTCATCTCAATCATTTCCAGCTTCACGCGGCTTGCTTTCAAACCCCCTTTTCCCGCTCTTCTTCTACTCACTATTTGCTCTTTTCCCCTTTTTTGCTTTCCCCATTTCTTCCTCTTTTTGCTCTGTTCTTACAGTCGGAAGGAACAGAGCAGCAGAGCCATGGCTAAGCTTTTGCTTCTTGGGTTTCTCTTATCAATGGCTTTTACCAAATGGGTTCATGCCTTTTACCCATTTAATCTCTCTGATTCATCGCTCTTTGATTCTTATGAAGCTTCCTTTGCTGTCACCGCTACTCCTCTCATGGTGCCTCTCACTCTCATTCATGGAGCTGATGCAAAACGAGCAGGTCCCCTTCTTATTCCACCCTTTTTTTCCTTACCTATTTTAGATTTGTTGATGGGGTTTTGATTTGCCGCTTCTTGTTCTTGTCTTGCTGAAGTGATATTTGAGGACATCTTTGTCAGATTTATTCTATATCCTTTACTTGCATTCTACTTTACCCTCTTCCTATTCTTTATCAGCTACCTTTTTTTATTCCTTTTGTAGTGGTGATTTCAAAATATTCATTAACTTCTCTTCATTGTGTGTGTGTGTTTGTTCTTTGCCCTGTGCAGTCTGTTTGGATGGCACATTGCCTGGATATCACTTGCACCGTGGATATGGGTCGGGAGCTAATAGCTGGCTTGTGCAATTGGAGGTAATATGCTTAGGATTCTTGATTTTGAAACTTTTGAACCTCTCTGGACTCTGAATATTGAACAAGAACTATTAGTATCTTAAAATCTTCAATTTCCAAGATGGGACATTAATACCAATATGCTCAGGATCAGGATCTTAATGTTGGCTGTGATGTTGAAACTTGATATCTCAATTTTGGCAGGGGGGTGGATGGTGTAATAATAGAAGGAATTGTGTCTACCGGAAGAATACGAGGCGTGGATCGTCGAGATTTATGGAGAAGCAAATACCATTTACAGGAATTCTGAGCAACAAAGCTGAAGAAAATCCTGGTTTCTTTCTTTCTCATGATTTTTTTTTGTAGAATCTTTATTTTTCGTCACGTTTGATACAGGAACAATTAGAATGTTCTTCTTTGCATTCTAGATTTTTTTAACTGGAACAGAGTAAAGGTTCGTTACTGTGATGGCGCCTCGTTCACTGGGGATTCTGAGAACAAGGTTTGTGAAATATTTAATTACATATCTATCTCTCTAGATGGTCTAGACATAGATCAGGGACTGCCGTGCTATCGTTACCCACTGCGGTTCGAAAGCTGCTTTAGTGTTTATCTGCTTACCCTTGTAACAATAACAAGATATTAAGGCTTAAAAATGATATAAATCCTTTCCCCACTTGAACTTTTATAGGCTGAACAGTTGCAATTTAGAGGACAGCGGATTTGGTTGGCTGCAATGGAAGAATTGAGGGCCAAGGGAATGCGATTTGCGAAACAGGTCTAGTTTACTAGCCACATTATCGATGCTTGCTTATTCATTGATTCTGATTCATCACATTCATGTTTCAGGCCTTGCTTTCTGGCTGCTCGGCGGGAGGTTTGGCATCGATTCTACACTGTGATGAGTTTCGAGGCTTGTTTCCTAGTAATACTAAAGTGAAGTGTCTGAGTGATGCTGGACTATTCCTTGACGTGTAAATGCTCTTGAACGTTACCGATAGCTGTTTTAAAAGATCAATAGCCATGGCTTAATATTAGATGCTTCTAGTATTCATTGGTTGTTCATGGAATTGCAGGGCTGATATATCTGGTGGGCATTCTATTAGGAACTTATTTGGTGGTGTGGTGAGCTATCAGGTACAAAATTATTCAATTTAGCGGTTCATATTTTCTTGTTCTATCAATCAGTTTAGTAATATTAAAAAGTAACCCTCAATAACTCCACTTGAGGAGTAGTACACTTGAAGTTAAGTGTGAGATCCCACCTTGGTTGGAGAGGAGAACGAAATATTCTTTATAAGGGTGTTGAAACCTCTCCTTAGTAGACACGTTTTAAAAACATTGAGGGGAAGCTCGTAAGGGAAAGACCAAAGAGGACAATATCTGCTAGCAGTGGGCTTAGGCTGTTACAAATGGTATCAAAGCTAGACACTGGGTGATGTGTTTGTGAAGAGGATGAGCGCCGAAGGGGGGTGGACACGAGGCGGTGTGCCAGCAAGGACGTTGGGCCCCGAAAGGGAGGGTGGATTGGAGGGTCCCACATCGATTGGAGAAGGGAATGAGTGCCAGCGAGGATGCTGGGTCCTGAAGGGGGTGAATTGTGAGGTCTCACATCGATTGTGGAGGAGAACGAAACATTCTTTATAAGGGTGTGGAAACCTCTTCCTAGTAGATGCGTTTTAAAAACTTTGCGGGAAAGTCGGAAAAGGACAATATCTGCTAGCGATGAGCTTGGGCCCTTACATTAGGAGTCATACATTCTTTATATCTCTTTGAGCTCTTCCTCTTGTATAACAATCTCTGCCATGAAGACCATTTAAGCTATCCTATTTGATTTAGATTTTGGAAACACAGAGGAGGATAATTCGATATTGAAATTAGGACGTTTTGTGAAGTTGGAAGTAGTAATTGTCGTCATCAACCATCCCGGGAAGCGGGATAGTGAAGGAACACAAGGGATTGAGTTCAAACTTATGGTTGCCACAACGGATGTTATAATTTTACGAGTTTGTTTGACCACCAAATGTTCAAGCACACTATTGTCGTATGAGATAAGTTTGAAATGTGCCTAACCTAGCATCGGGTTAAAAATGGATCTAGCACGTATTCTTCCATCCATTAGGATAATGAGGATAATGAGTATTAGCTTATAGAAACACTGTCTTCCTTCACTATGAAATGGTTATGCTTTCTTATTTGAGCTTAATTGTTGCAGGGAGCTAAAAGGAATCTGCCATCCTTTTGTACAAACCATCTCGATCCAACTTCGGTACGTCTTTCGATATCTAATTTACCACTCCCAATATATTTAGAACTTCATGTTCTAAGCTGCCATTGATACGTTGATGAATCGTGCTAAACCTTCGATAATTATTCAGTGTTTCTTCCCACAAAACATAATCGCTGGAATCAAAACGCCACTGTTTCTTGTCAACGCAGCATACGATTCCTGGCAGGTAGGTATATTTTCCTGTGGTGAGAATGTTTATTTTAAACCCGGGTCGATTGAATTCCGATGGTACAATCTGTTTCTCTTGCTGCCAAACAGATACAATCTAGTCTTGCCCCACCTTCCCTCGACCCGGCCGGGTATTGGCACGATTGTAGGCTGAATCATGCAAAATGTAACCAACCTCAGATTCAATTTCTTCAAGGTAAGTTTCTCTGAATAGAATTTGATGAAGCTAGTGATTGTTCTGGGTTTGAAACAAGCATTTGTGGCTATGTTTCTGTCAACAGGATTCAGGAACCAAATGTTGAATGTTGTAAGGGATTTCTCAAAATCTTACAAAAATGGATTGTTCATTAATTCATGTTTTGCTCACTGCCAAACCGAGCGACAGGATACGTGGTTCAGCGACAATTCCCCTGTCATCGGAAACAAGGTGACATAATATGGCATGAATGATTCGAAAAGGAGGTGAGTTTGAGTATCTATCTCTAACATGTTGATGAATGTGATTGTGCAGCCAATTGCTCTGGCTGTTGGAGACTGGTACTTCGACCGAGCAACTGTGAAAGCGGTCGATTGCGCGTATCCTTGTGACAGGAGTTGCCACCATCTGGTTTTTAGAAGCGGGTAGCCCCAAGGGTTGGCTTCTTCACATCTGCATATCATATTTTTTTCCCCTCTCGACATCGTTGTCGAAGGAAAAGTCGTATTGCGATTTGATTAAGAAGTGAATAAAGAAGAGAAAGGAGACGAAGATAGATTTGCAGTCCTCCTGCAAGCTTTGTTTGTTTGTTTGTTTGAAGATAGAAGAAAGGTTGGGTTTGTTCGTTTAGTAATTTAAACGTAGTTGGAATCAATATTGAGAGAAGCTTTGAATACCTAAAATGTATTCTCAATTACTTTCTGGTTAATGTATTTTAAATCTTTTTACTTATCGTTTGTTTATGAATTAATTAGAATTAAATTACTTTCATAATTAAAAGAAAAGAATGGTACACATGTTGTTTTAAATGGTTTGTATGAAAATAATAGCGTGAAGTCTAACATATGGACCGTAGAAGTTCGAATTTGAAAATGATATCACGGGTTCATATAGGTTTACTTGGATTTCAAAGAAAATAATTGAATTTTCATCATAGATAAATTAAACTAATAGCGCAAATGATCTTATTGTTAAACTAATAGCGCATGTATGTATGTCATGTGCATCGGGATGCTTCTCCGTTATGTTATGTTAGTACGAACATGCGCGTACCTTTGATATTTATGTTTGCCATGATATTATGGGGGTCTTTTCTTTTTTGTGGCATCTGGCAATGTATAACACATTTAAGCCCAACCATGTCAGATACAGGGGATATGTGTACGAGCCCACCTGGTTGGTCCATGTGTGTGTACGTGGGTCGTGTTTGGGGAAGTACCACATATCCAACCCTACTCAGAACTTGAAAGAGTCCAAGGTCATGTGACGGTTTTAAAATAGGTCATAATCATGTTATGTGTGTGATTGCATTGCTAACTCCAACATTGCAGTGACTTACTGAATATTTCTTAAAATATTCAAGTCTTACATTTTTCAAGTAAAGGTAAAGCTCTCATGCACGGATAACGGTGGACACTGAAAAGACCATGAAAGTCAAGATAGATCATTTTAAGAGTTCAAAAACTATGTTATTTATATATATATATATATATATATATATATATATATATTAATGTTGAATTGAATATGTAATTCCATGATTTTATTTTAAGAGTATTTATTATAAATTTCCGCACATGTGATTAAAAGCATGCATGTGGTGACATCACTAATTAGAGTAAGAAAATTAGGAGCGTTACAACTACAAATGGTATCTTGTACGGTTGATATTCGTCTTTGTACATTTCGAAACTTAATTTAGTACTAAGTCTAAGTTGGTATCAAGACAAGCTAGTGCAGTATTACGTATTTTTTGAAGGAATGATCATTGCCTTTTATAAAAGAGTAGCGGTTAGACTCTTGAGCCCAAGTTCACCGTTAGTAAATATTGTTTGCGCTCTAGAAATTTGTACCTAGTGGGTAATAGATTAGGCATCATATAACAGCCCAAACTCACTATTAGTAGATATTGTCCGTTTTAACCCGTTACATATCACCGTCAGCCTCACAGTTTCAAAATGCGTCTACTAGGAAGAGGTTTCTACACCCTTATAAGGAATATTTTCGTTCCCCTCTCAAAACTGATGTGGAATCTCACACATCGTTATTATGTAAGTGAGCTAGCTCCTGGTTGTCACATACCTCGACATAGCACGAGCCTTCCACCTCGATGTATTCAAGTATAGTCTAGACACATTTACTTGTTTAAATGACTTTGTCACACAACAAATCCCGATCATCTCAAAATATCTCATATCAAATAAAAATGTAGTATAAAATATCACGAAGAATGAAAAATGAATTTGTTCAATTAAACTTTTGATTAATCGAAGTCGATATTGAACCGACAATTGAAATGATTATCCGACCAAACTTGAATCAATTTTATCAATATATAATAATATTTGATTTAGAAGGGACATTTTTGTCAAAAACATTATGATAATTTGATGAGTTTCATGGAAAGAGGAAGATTCCAATAAATAATAATGATACCAAAGAAGAAGAAAGTAATAGGAAACGAGGGGGAAGTGGGTCCTACCTGACCAATGATTGGGTGTGAAATGACATAAATGACCTTCATCACAAAAATAATAAAAATCATTATTAGACAACTCAATTATATTGACGAAAATCATATTAAAATATAATGATACAATTAATATCTAACAACAAGACAAAGGTATGACCATACCATATGGGCTTTTAAATTCACTATATTATTTATATAAATCTCATTTTTTTTTATTATAAATAATTATAATTATTCAATAATACATTTAAGATTTTAAAGGACTTTTGACGATTTTTATTTTCGGCCGACAAAATCAATTAAAATGTCAGTAATCATTCTCAATAATAATAATTATTATTTAAAGACAATATTTTCGTAGTTTGAAAAAAGAAAAGATGCCTTAAACACATAGCGTGTAAAAATTAGTTTAAAACCAAACAAATAAAGCTTATTCGGGTTACCTTAGAAAGAAATTGAAACGACATCTCGTAAAACAAAGAAAACTAGATTTTACTAAAATTTCAACATAAAGCACCGTCCCTTTATCCCTTCATCCACGTGCACAACCTCTTCTAGCGATATTCAAAATTTGACACCACACGATGTCAATATTCTCATGATTTGAAATCGAATATTCTACGAGCGAAAATCAACATAGATTGATTCTTGAAGGAAGAAATTTCAGAAATTCATTTGACGTTGAGGTGAAAAGGAATGACGGCTTGATGAAGACTTTAGGTTTTGGGGTACGTGCATTTATATAATAAGTACAATCTTCCAACTATCAATGTTTTCACCTCCCCTAGCAATAATTTGTACAACTTTCTCGTCATAGCTTAAACTCTCGTTTAACTGCGACAGGTCGTAGTCTATCACATGAGATAGATCCACTATGTAACATTGCAACATCAATACATGAAATACATTTTGAACTGATACAAGTATTGGGCAATGCAAATGGTAAGCTACCAGTCCAACTCGCTCCAATATCTCAAATGAATCAGTGAAGTGTGGAGTCAACTTCTTTTTGCGTCCAAACCTCGTAATGTCCCCCATATGTGCCATTTCAAGAACACTTTCGAACACCCCAGGCAAGCAATGCTCAATTGATTTCAATCCTGTCTACTTAGCGACTCAAGCACACCAACATTTGTTGGAAAATATTATTTTTAATTTCATAAATTATGTAATGGTCAATTTGACTTCTTATTTTGTGGAGATTAAATCCCGACCACAAACGTCTTTTGTCGGCTTTTGTGGAAATTATAGGAGATCAGGATTAAATCTCGGCCACAAAGACGTTTTCCTTAGAAATCCGAGCATCATATTTAAGAATTGCTCCGAGCCATTCAATCAAGCCTTGATCAAGTTCGATGAAGTGACTCAATTTAGAACAAGGTTTCCAAAATCAAGTTCGATTGTGGAGTTACTTATTTTAGAACAAGGTTTCCAAATCTTGCTTCTAGATCTTCAATCGTAATAGGTAATGTAATTCTAGTCTTATCTCTTGGTTGATCCAGATTTTGTACAAAGAGGTGTTAATTACTTTGATTCAAGGGTTCTTGCTTCAACAAAAGTTTGGATCGTTGGGTTGAATAGGATTGCTTTATCCAGTACTATTTCAATCATTGTTTGATAAGTATTGTTATAAGCGAACTCCATGAGATTAAAGTGCATGTCCCAGCTTGATATAAACCAAGAAATCTAAATTATGCAATTTAAACTTCAAGGAAGATGTGAAAAAATTGTTGTTCAAATTACTCCACGATCAACTCAAATTATAGTTCATGTCTTATTAGAAAAGAATCACGTTTCAGTTATTCTTGGATGACTACAAATTTTGGGTGTATGATAATCTAGAGTCATGGTGTTTCATTAATATATTTTAAGACTTTTTATTTAATTTAAAGTTGCATTTACATAGTGGCTAATTATGCTAATAAAGTATGAAAATTACAACTTTCGTAAAGTAACTTCGAAAAAGGCAGTAAAAAGAACATTTGTAGTTTATTTTAGGTGAGAGTTAAGTTTGTTTGCAATTCCATATAGTTAAAGTTGCATGCTTAGAATAAGTTTAATGTGATCAATTTTGCTTGTGATGTGATTTGAATCTCAAAAACGTTGTCTTGCTTTAAGATATTTGATCAATAAGGTAATCCACGTCTTATTTTTTCTTGGGGTGGTTCTTTGTCGATTTGAGGTTTTTGGATATTTAGATCTAAATGCTTTATTCTTCGGTAAGATTGTTAGACCAAATTCTCAGGAGTTGCAATCAATTGGAATGAAATCAACTTGATTTGAGAGTTTTAACATTTGTGATCTAGGGATTTGCACATCCCGAGCCTTTATAAGGCTTTTTCGATCAAATTGGCTAAGGTTACCATATCATAGTTACTTGCACAGGTTAGATTACTATATACATATCATGGTTGGGTTTAAAAGGACTTCAAGTTTGGATTGAGTTCATTTTTTTGGAACCCGATCCGGTTTGGGTTTAAAATTCAAATTATTGAGACAACTCAACCCAACCCGAAAACCTTAAAAAAGAAAAAAAAAGTCCAAGCCCACTCTGCCTACCCATGAGTCATGTTGTCTACTCCGACCACGTGGCACATATTCACTCTACAAAGTGTAGATTTTCTTTCTCTGCTCTTCGATACACGAGATTGAATTAATAACTCTTTGCCTCTTTCTCTCTCTTTCCTTTGATACACGAGACTAAATTAATAATTGTAATGATGAAGTACGTTTTTCCATCTTTCTCATTATTTCTCTGCTTTTTGTCTTCATCATTCTCATTTCACAACGTTCATCTTTTTATTGCTCCGTTGACGTCGTTCTCATCTCATAGCAAACGTCGACTTTGCTCGCCAATCACCTCTTTATTTCTCCGTCAGACTCTCTTCTCAGTTCCCATTTCTCCGTTCGACCTCGTCTTTGTGTTTTTCGCCGGACGTTGTCATCGACTGTCTCTCCGCTTGGCGTTTTGTTCCACTTCCATCGGACTTCTCTACTCTGTGTTTCTCGTCAAACTTCTCCGCTTGGCGCTACGTTGTTTCTCTGTCGACTTCTTGTCTCTTCTCAGTTTGGAACAACCCGAACCCAGCCCGAAAATAGAGGGTTGAGTTGGGTTGGGTTGGGTTGAGT